ACAATATATTTAGTGAAATTTTATAAGTGAGACATGGGAAGGTTAGTATATATGCAAATCTTACATTTATCTTGTGATTTAACAGATGCGGATTTAAGATTTCAAAAGAATCGGTGCACTATTGTGAAGAGGTGGATCTAGGGAATTTACATTTGACAGGTTAAATTTAGTCGTTTACCATAAACCCACCACACCTTTAGAATTATAGGTTAAAAACTATATACTTTTTGAAATTTTATATATCTACACTTCGTACCGAAAACAAGACCGTCAAAGTGGGATTTGAACCACCAATTTCACTTGTAGAGGTGCATCCGATAATTATTGCACCATAGGAATGTTTAAGCATGGGTGAACGCAAAGGTAGATTCATGATTTAGACTTTATGTATTCAACCTTTAAGATATTTAACATTGAATTTATTATATTGCTAAAGTTATATATTCATATCAACTATTTATTGTAATTTTAGTAAATTTTTGACATTAATTTATGTTTCGTGTTAAAAAGATAAGTCTACTGGATTCAGATGAACCTGGTACTAAAAAGGATAAGTAATTCTGAAAAAATATAATATTGTTATATACGGTTTAGGGAGAGTAGCATGAGAATCCATATCCCTTAATCTGGATATGTCTCTAGGTAGAGAAACTATTTTTGATAGACTGTTATTGCATCCGTAGATTTTGAAGCCCATCGACTTCATATTTCTAAGTGATTTTGTCATTCTTCATTTAACTTGTCTCATTGTCCTTGTCAATGGCAGCTTACAGAGGAGGATTCATTCTGCGCTACGGCTTCAAGTTTTGGAGGGAAAGAAACGATCACGGGAGGTGTACGTGGGTTTTGGCGGAAGTTCGGTCTTGGACTCTTGGACCGTAAGTGCGTCATTTTCTCAGAGAATGTGGACTAATAAGATGATTTCTTCAAAGATATTGGACTATTTTGGACTTTATCTCAAAAACTCACATCATCCACCATGTATTACGATATCTAGTAGGAAAATGTCTCAAAAGCTCAACCCAAACCCGACTTACGACGTGATAATCTTAGGTGCCTCAGGTTTTACTGGCAAATACGTCATTAGAGAAGCTCTCAAATTCCTTAATATTCCCTCTTCCCCATTAAAAAGCTTAGCTATAGCGGGACGTAACAGTTCCAAACTTTCCCATGCACTCCAATGGGCCGCCCGTTCAAACCCACAACCCCAAATTCCAATCCTCACAGCCGACACAACCGACCCATCTTCTCTCCGCCACCTTGCTTCTCAGGCTAAACTCATCCTTAACTGTGTCGGCCCATTTCGTCTTTATGGTGAGCCCGTTGTTAAGGCTTGTGCTGATTCGGGTTGTGATTACTTGGATATTTGTGGAGAGCCCGAGTTTATGGAGAGGATGGAAATGAAGTACCATGATAAGGCTGTAGAAATGGGCTCTTTAATTGTTTCGGCCTGTGGGTTTGATTCTATTCCTGCTGAATTAGGCTGGATGTTTAATTCGAGACAGTGGCTACCGCCGGCAATTTGCAATCGGATTGAGGGCTACATTAGTCTAGAATCGGACAAGAGAATTGTTGGAAACTTAGGGACGTATGAGTCAGCAGTGCTTAGTGTGGCTAATGCGGACAAGTTACAGGAACTAAGGCGCTCCAGACCTAAGAGGCCTCGTCCTGTGGTAAGATTTTATGATCTTTTCTTTTTTTGTTGAAAGGCTGGTTATTCAACTACATAACATGACTTATATACTTGTTTCATGTCGATCAATGTGTATATACGAAGATTTATTGAAACTTCTACTGAAGTTAGATTGGGGTTACATGTTTCAACAGGGGATTACGGACTTATTAGATATCGACTTTGGTACCATATGAAAAATTATAAGCTTCGAACGCAAAAGATAAAGGGTATGTGTGGAGTAGCCCATGATTTTTGTGGGAAAAATGTAAAAGGGCTCAGTTCAATCACATACTTCAAATCCTCGTATAACTATTCTATCTTCACTACTCTTTTGTTTCACCGGAGAAATGTTGTATGTTAAGAAGCAATTGATCTCTAAAGCTTAGAAGTTGATTAATCATTATATGTTTGAAGGTGTAAACTTTAGTCAATATCCGCAGTCAATTATAGTTAACTCGTTTTGGAGAATGTTTAAGCTGTTATACAAAATGATTATTACGTAAATAGCGGGTCAAATTCATTGTTTACTTTTTCTAGCAAGTATAAGTAGATTATACATTAATTATACATAGTTATACATATATTATACATGATCTATATATATATATATATATTATACATCGGTCGGCTATTTTTAGCTTAAGAGATTAGATGAGCGACTATTTGGATTAATTCTTCTTTTTTAAATAACATATCAGATCTGTGAAGCGTATTATTTACTCTTCCACACTCCAATATTTTCCCGTTTGTTTCAGATTTCTGGTCCTCCCCCTCATAAAGGTCCAATGGTACACCACCTTAAGGAAATTGGGCTTTGGGCTGTAAAGTTACCATCAGCAGATGCAACTATAGTGAGGAGAACACTTTCATGTTTGGCTGAAGCTCCTCGTGGTTTACCTGGTGTTAATGAAAGCACTGAACAGATTGAGAGGAAGGAGGCATTTTGGTCTAGCATAAAGCCAGCTCATTTTGGTATGAAGATAGCTTCGAAATCTCTGTTAGGTGTTGTTCATTTCATTATAGTTGGCTGGTTCATTGGTCACTTTGGTCAAACTAGTATAGGCAGGTGGTTGCTCCTGAATTTCCCTTCAGTGTTCAGTCTTGGATATTTCAGGACAAAAGGTCCAACTGAAGATGAAGTAGCAAGTGCTAACTTTAAGATGTGGTTTGTTGGACACGGGTATAGTGATGGCAATCTTGCATCACAAGGAAACAGGAAACCCGATACGGAGATAATTACAAGAGTAATGGGACCTGAGATTGGTTATTCGACAACTCCAATCATTCTAGTCCAGTGTGCCCTTGTTTTGCTCAAGGAACGAAACAATCTTCCAAAGGGAGGTGTTTTCCCTCCTGGGATTGTGTTTGGCCCGACAGACCTCCAAGATAGGCTTCAGCAGAATGGAATATCTTTTGATGTTATTTCAAAGAATGCTATTAACTAAATGGTAGTTGAGTGCAGTTTTAGTCATATGGAAAATTCGAATTTATGCCACAGTAATAATGATTCTATTAATTCCTTCTACTTTCTTTGCGTGTTCTTCTGACTGTATTTTTTCTTAAGTTTTAATATGCTTATTCAATGCCTTAAGGTGCTTTTCTGTTTGTTTCTTTCCGTGGACTAACTTCAGAATCCCTGGCCATCTTTCTAGTTCTTTCTTTATAGTGTCTTAACTATCTTTACAACCATATATAAAAGGTAGTCATAGAGAACTCCTAATTTTTCTTAAAGACATGAATTATGTGTAGAGAAATAACGCGGGAAAATAACAATAACACAGCTATAACATTATTTGTAAGTCCACGAATTGGCTTGAGTCGTGCTAGGCAACTATTTCAGCAATGTAAAATGTTTCCCCAATATTAAACAAGTTTACCTCTATTTAAGAGAATACAAGAATAGCAAAATATTAATAATAAATCCAGCAAGTTGAAATAGAGAGAGCAACTAATATCTTTTGTCAATTAAAATATTATAGAAGAAGAAATGAAAAGGAGAAGAACATATAGGAGGGAAAGAAGATAGAAGAATTTTCTTCCTTTGCTAATGATTAGCTTTTTTTGGTGTTTGGATGATAGAAGAATAATGGCATAATCATTGCTATATATAGGCCTACGGAAAGCTTCTACACAAGATAAGTGTATCAAATTTCCTTCATGCAAGATGCCAAAACATCTCATGCAAAATGCCACTTGGCTTAGTAAGGTCATTTGTCAAACAATCTTTTTAAACAATGCCACATGTAAAAAGGTATGACACTTGTAAAATAAAAAGACACATGATTATTTAAAATTTTGAAAATACTCCCACGTTATGAATGAATGAAATTAGCTCCTGAATAGAGCGGAATGGCTATAGAAGATTCACATAGGAGACTATAACCAGTTTGGGATTGAGTTATAGCTGATCGATTAAAATATAAGTTTTTTCTCTCTTCTATATTAGTAGATTGATGTAGGTCAATTGACTAGATAATATTAACAATATTATGTCTCTTTTAATATAATTCTCTTTGTTGTCCGGAAAACAAAAGGTAACTGCAAAATTTATTTGAGGATGGAATTTAACGTTCTTAATATTTTGTGGGTTTTTAGCATTAAACCTCAAGCGAGGAAACCTTCAAAAATTATGTACTCCAACTTAGATTATTAAGCTGGACTATTATTGCAGCTATTCTCTAAAACTTTTTGGTTGAACGTACATATTCTTTCATACACCATTTTTAAAAAATTATACGTAGGAAATAGGAGAAGAGGAAGCAGAATTAGGGGAGAAAAGTAGTTCCCATAATTCGAGTGAGATTGTCATGGCGCAAAAATAGATATGGTCCGGTACTCCGTCATTCCCTGTATTGGTTATGTTCTTTATATCTTGTCTAAGGTGAGGAATTGAATCTTCACCAACAAGGTGAGAGTTCAAATAGTCATCCAACTAAGCTACTACTAAAAGCGAAGTCAAAATATTTTGTTTTACAATATAAGGGAAATGCTATTTCCAATATTTACGTACCATGCAATTTTATTACAAAAACAGGAGCTCTGATCAATATGTTCTATTTAACTTCTTCAGAAAAATATTGAAGTAGAATGTCAAGTAAATGTAATACACATAATTTTAAGTTGACAAAAGAGTTTGAATGAATATACACTTCTATATTCTTCCATATATAATGTTTTAATTTAATGCACCTAAATAAAAGGATGGAAACAAAAAAAGAATGTCACAAAATAGTAGTAGCACTTAAATTGAACGTGTGATCTTGCAGTTCAATTTTGGACAATTCCCATTAAGTTGTCCGAAATGTATAGTTAGGAGTACCAAATGTTTTGGGCGGGTTAGTTGGGCTTGACCCAAGTTGAACGTGGTCTCTTCACGACGCCGTTTACTCCTCCTTCGTCCAGTCCAGTCCAGTTCAATCCCCGGCAAAATCTCCATTTCCTGTAAGTGAGAGAAGAATCATCCCCATCAAGTTAATGCCATGAGCGCCTGCAAAACCTTATTTCGCTCCTCAATTTCGTTTATTGAGTTCAAAACTCGAAGCAGTTATCGGAGAAGTTTCTCTTCTCATTTTTTATCCAATTTCTCTCCTTTTAACGCACTGCGTCTACTCTCTCCTAATCCAGGTATCTATTTATAATGTTTGTGATTTTCTATGTGTTGCGCTGTATCTGTTTACTACACTAACCTTGTTCTTTACTGTATTTCTATGTAGGATTTAGAATCGAACCGTGTAGAGCTACTTCAAGACGATATGGCAGCACTCGAGGAGCAATTTCGCTGGAAACTTCGGAAAATGCGGAGGAAATGACAGTTCCGCGTGTCGCCGTAGAAATTCCGGAGGAAAAATCGGAAGATACAGTAGAAGAGTTGCTTTCCAATAGAGATGATGTAACAAAATTTATGAAAATGGAACGTAGGTCCAATACTGAAGGCCAGGGGCATCAGGACCGTTGGTTTCCGTATTTGGATAGATTTAAGGCGGGAAATGTGGATTTGAATAGCGCAGAGGTATTGGAAGCTTTGAATCCGGTTATAATGGATTCGAGGAAAGAGAGGTTTAGACATGCTGTGATGAATCGGACATATTCTGTATGTTTGGTGGTGGAAGGTTTGAGTGATTTTGGCAATATTTCAGCTGCATTTCGGTCAGCTGATGCACTGGGCATTCAGTCAGTCCATGTTGTAGCGTGTGACTGTTCGAAAAGGTGCTCAGCACTTTAGGTGAAAATAGTACTTATTTGTTTCTTTTTCTTACCATGCTCGATATTGCTTAAATAATTGGCAGTTTTAGTTGTATCGACTTGAGTTTCAAATGTATTCTTAGCATAATACATGATTTACAACAATGTGTCTGAGGCGACATGCTTTATAGTTTCCCCTCCTTTGGCTAGGGAAATAAAGAAGAACGTTTGGTTCAATGTTATACCCAGCTCGCGGTTATATTTAGTGAAACAAATGCATTTTGTGGTTTACTTAGTCATCGTGTTGATTAAGGTTTAGTGCAAAGCGTTCCAGAAGTGGTTTACTATCTAACAGTGCAAACAAATCCTGTCACAGAGAGTTCCAATATTTTTGTTTGACGATTTAATTTTGCAGGAAGGGAACGGTTTTTATAAGTGAATTGGTTTTGTAGAGCACTCTTTGTGCAAGTGCCTTGACATTTACTATCTGCCTACAGGTACAGGGAGAATCGTCATGTCAGCATGGGAGCTGAGAAATGGTTGGACATCGAACTTTGGGATTCTGTCCATGAGTGTTTCAAAGTTTTGAAATCACGTGGTTATCGTATTGCGACAACACATCTTGGAATGGACGCAGTATGGAGATCCTCTTTTATTTCTTATACTGAATTGCCAGTGAAAATTTGCTTGCTCATTTTTTGGTTCTTTCCATTTTATTGCTTTCTCAAGATGTCAATTGAAAGTTGTCTTTCTATTGTAGGTTTCTGTGTACGATATGGACTGGTCATGCCCAACTGCAATTGTTGTTGGAAATGAGCTTAGGTAGGTGTTAGTCTGCTGTCCTCGTTCAAGAATAGTTATTCAGATTTGATCCTACCTGCTGACAGGGACTACTATATTCTGTCACATTTGAACTATAATCATATTAGCATCTGCGATAAATTTTTTGGTAGAATTTGTTATCAATTTCTTTCTAGTCTTGGTTCTCTATTTTAATGATCTTCTTTATGCTGAAGAAGATCTAATTCTATTTCCTTGTAAAATTAGAGATAATAGGAATATTGCCTCTTGACATGAAAAGACTATGATTTATTTTTCTGAGATGGACCAGAACTAGATGAGATATTGTTGTTTGCAGGGGAATTAGTGATGAGGCTCTTGNCTTTTTTTTCTCGGTGATACAAGTATTGCCTTGATTTTTCTCTTTCTGGATGAGGTTGTGGGTTAAAGGTTATACATGTTGCATTAGCTACATAGCATGTTGTTTTTCTATCTTTCTTTTAACCTTCCGTGGAAATAGGAAAATAATGGTACAATCTATCTGCCTATGGTGCTTCTCTACTAACAATCAAGAAGGTGAAAGCGTGGTAAAAGAGTGGTACAATCTATCTTCAGTGTTAATTGATATCTCTCCTGTATTATTGTACCTTAGAAAATTTGAAACTTTGTTGACTCGTCTTTGGTGGTTGATGAAGGTGACACCGTAGTTGATCATAGTTGCTTCAAGTTTCTAACCTATAGAAGGATTTGGCCTTCTTTTGTTCATGATCTCCAAGATTCCATGTACAGAAAGTTGACTTTTTTTTTTCTTTTAAGGGATGTCATGGAGATCTAACTAGTGAAGAGAGCCAAATCTTGCTGGCAGAGTTCACTTTGCGCCACAGCAATAGTGCAATTAGGATTGCTCATGAATATGCAAAAAGAAAGATACCTGAGCTTAAATCAAAGCTGTGAATAACTGGTCAAACTAGTTTCCTGAAGGAAGCTGTTTTAGCCTATTTGCACGTGGGAACTTCACAGGTATTTCCCTACATAAGTGATTAACATTTTTTTCAAATATGACTATATTTGTTGTTTCGTGGTTTGCTCTTTTCTTTTCTTCTTCTTTTCCTGTCGTAGTGGAACAAAGTTCACATGTTCGCTTTGTTTTTAGACTTTGAATTACTTATGTTTTGGTTTTAATTATTGTCAGTAATATGTCTGGATATTCGCCACGCTTGATGCTGCTGACTGCCTGGTCGTATAACTGAGCAGCTATGCTTTTGCATTTTTTGGATAGTTCTGTTACAGCTTATGTATAGCTTTACTTTCACCAGTTTGCTTTTTTACGTCCACCATTTTTAAAGGATTTACTCCTTAATGTATTTTTTAATTACTTAGACGAAATAAGCTCTCAAGAAAAAATTGAGACGCCGTTAGCTTGCGTTCTTTATGGATTTACTGGTTTAATCAATGAAGCCCTCCCACCAAGCCACCTTCTACCGAAAGTGTAGCCGAAAAAGAAGTGGTTTAATGCAATCTAATAAACGGGGAGCTGCGGAAATTTGTTTGCCTTACAACCATCTGAATACTTTCTTCGTCTTTTTTAATCTTCTCGCTTTATTTTTTACACACCAGTAATGCCTAAAATTACTGATGCTAAAAGAAAAACGGAAAGATAAATAAATCGAGTACCCAAATTAACAAAGGTATTACCCTTATAGGTAGGACTTGGCAAAGGTACAACTTGATATTGACAGAGTATAGAATAAACAAATCATTTTATCAGGAGATAGAATGCTTAGTGCACTACATTCACTAACAAACGGACCAAAAATGTAATCACGAAAACATTAATATACCATTTCAGCAAATTCCCTTGTGTACATTGTGGTGGTCACATACATAAAGGCAGCTGATCATGCCAAAAGTTGTCACCAGGCCCGCAAGAGACATTGATTAACTAATAACATCAATTCTCATAACTCCCTATAGTTATTGGACCCTGAGGTAAAAGAAGAACTATCGCATACAGAAAGAAAAGCAAAAGATTTTCTAGTTTTTGCCAACAAGGTCTACCATTGATCACTTGAACCCAATATACACATGATCAGGTAAAAGAAGAAAAGATAAATCCCTACTCAATTAAATTTGAAGTATCAGTTGTTTGTATTGTTGTTTTTGTGTTTTGCAAGTTCAAATCTTCCCCATGCTTCTGCAATTCATGGGACCGAATGAACTCTTCAATTTTCGCCTTCAACTCGGTGTCGGGAATCAGCATGTCCGCAGTTAGATGAGACCGGTTAAACGGGTCTGACTGTAAACCAGTAGAAACAAGTGAAAAACAATAATTCCTAGTGGAATAAAAGACTTAGAAACATAGATATAGTGGCTTACACTATCACTAAGAAGGTGCCTCTGAATAACAGGTCGGTCCACTGTTATTCTCGAAGAGGGAAGAATGACAGGATCCTTCATCAAAGTATACTGCAAATCGAATAAAGACCATTCGTCCAAATCAAAAATATGACTACGGAAGCTATCTATATAGCAAGAATTGTAAGATACTTGATTTGATTTCGAGAAGAAGAAGGTACGTACTTGGATAGGATCAAGGAATTCATCAGGAATGTCTCCAAGCGCAGCCTCAGCGTCCATTGCTTCTGACGCTGCAACCTTGGCTTTTGCGCCAAGGTCAATGAACTCTTGAATGATCCTCATATCTTCACCAATTCTTCTAAGGACATCAGCTGCAGCACTAAATATCTGAAGCAAATCCAATTTGTCACGCCGAAGTCCAAACAAAGAATGAATTTGAAGAAAGCAATTTTTTTTTTAAAGGAAAAGAAAACAATTAGCAACATAGAGTAAAAACCTGATCACTGTACGATCGACCATCTCTTGTAATTGCAGCTGGAAAGATATTCTCCTTATCCCCTCTCGCCAAATGCACATATATTTTCACAATCTTCACATACGACCAAAAGAAATTGTAAAACTTCTACACACGTATCTTCTCCTGATTCTAGTAACAATACTATGGAGACTACAGGATACACTAAACAATAAGGAGAAAAAGAAATTTTTCTGGCCCTCTTCATGAAACAGGAGATACCCAGACACTGTGATGAATAGAGGAAAAAAAGGCTAAGTAATACAGAAATACACTTGGTTTTTGTCAAAAGAATAACCAGACGGCGCTTCTAATAAATTCAGAACATAGACCCCATCAACATCATATTAGATATTGCTAAAACAATAATAGTCTTGGCAAATAAAATGCTCAAGACATTTTGTAGGCTTTCTACTTTTTGGTATATACTTCTTGTATACGGGGGTTTGGTCCAAAATTTACTGAAAATTCGTTTGCTTGATCCAAAGAAAAAAAAGAGCTCAAGACACACCTGTATTCAGATGATATTTGCTGCTAATATGCAACAAATTACTTGCTTTAGATTCTTTTACAGATAACACTACCAATATTATCATGGCTATAGCAAACTAAACTTCTACACCAAGTCATCATCCACATAGAGAAATAAATATACATCTGTTAAGGTCATTTCCCAACATACAAGTTCATTAAGAGAAATGATCATTTTTCCTTCACAAATGAGTGATTAAAAACTAATTTTTGCCACTATGGAGCATAATCCTTCCAGCAAAGCAGTCAATCCCAAAACAGCTATTTCAATATTAGAATACTTTGGGAAGAACCAAAAGGAAATATCTGATATAAATTGGAAAAAAATAATTATTCTATAATCTCAAACTCGGTATGACATCTCAGACACCAAGCATTCCACTTTTCACAACCCACACTGTTGTTTTTCAGAGACATATATTCCAAATCATTAATTAAACATTTTTCTACCAAACTTGATATGATAATCTATTCACACTTTGTGCTATTAGTAACTGTGCAAGTAGAAGTAGGTTTTGCCTATTGAGACGTGGGGATATTAGAAACAAGTCCAGTTAGAGATGAGGCAAAGGTGCCAATGTAGGTACAGAGCAAGCAAATGGAAAAAGAGGAACTAGACGTGAAGGTCAGAGAAGGAGAATTGGCAGATATAAATATAGTGATGTGTGTGCCTCTGGCATTTGATCACGCGGCTCAGTCATATTTCATATTTTCTTTACCTTATCTTTTTGCCGTGTTAATTTCCAATTTCAATCATAAGAAAAGCATAGTTGCACTTTGCTACTTTTTAAGTGTATAAAGGCAAAGACTTCAGTCAAAAGGTAAAAGATTAGAAGTTTTCCAATTTGAGGGACACTTAATGCCAGCTGATCTTTGTTAGTTATAGCAAGTAATATCAAGATATGCAAAGAACTTCATTCACCTGTTTCAACAACTCTTTCGGACGAAACTCATACTTTTCAGGGTCTTTCAAGCTGAGAGATTTTCTTTGTGGACCCACCAGCTGTAGTAAAAAGTAATTCAACATGCTAGCAACTCTCTCCACCTAGGAAACCATTTCGAGAAAAATTAAGGGGGAAAAACAGCTTCACCAATTATAAAACAATAACCAATTTGAAAAGAAAGAAAAAAACAGCTTCATCGATTAGAACACGATACCACGAGAAATGATATAGAATGGTGAACATACCATCTCAGGAAGAAGAAACGGGGCGGTAATTTGCTCTGAAGTAAATGCTAGCAGGCTCACATCTTCATTTGCCAACTTCATATCAATTCGAATTATCTAAAATCAACCAGCATCTTTCACTTAAATTATGAATATAGCTTTAGCAAATAAAAATATTTAAAGATTTAAAACTGACATTCTCTTGTGAATGGAACAGGCGAGTTCTCTCCTGCCTTTCTTGAGCTGGTCTTCGTTCCCATTCCGCTGTGTTAGACATTTCAGCTTCCAGCTCTTTTAGTTCAAGAATTTTATTAAGACTTTCATCGAGAAGATAGATGCTATCATTAATCAAGAAGTTTAAGAAATTCAAATAAACACCCTTCTCCTCCTCCTTGGCAATCTGTAAATATTGAGGTTACAGATGGAGCGTTATTGAAGAGTAGTTCAAGAGTTGTGTTATAAAACATTGAACGCAAAATATACCGAAAAGAGAGAAAAAAACTCCCAACCTGTCTCCATGCATTCCTGTGACTTGGAACTTGCCAAAGATATTCAAGTAGTTCAGCAATGTTGTGGCGGATATTAAATTTATCATAGAACTGCAGCAAAGAAGATATTCCATTAAAGAGCACACAGCGGAAGTCTCTACCATCAAATGAACTAAACTGCAACTAACAGAACAATATGGAATGGCATTGACTAAATTAGCAACTTTTGTTTCTGGCAATAAGGCTGAATCAGAGAGCCGACTGTTTATTCATCAACCATATTTTCTTTTGTGAGACAGCAACTTTTTACTGCTTTATCCCTGGCCACTCCACTTTTTAAGAAAAAATTGAAGACATATTACCAAAGCATTCAACGTCTTTATCCTGAAACAAGTATCACCCGAGAACCAAGAAAACACTATCCAAAACCTGTGGGTTTATAGAAAAAGAAAAATTTGATGACTTAAGCCAGCATTCAAACCTCTCTATGCTGAAACGATAATATCACCAAAGAACGAAGAAAACAGACTTTGAGAACCTGGGTAAAAATAGTTCTGTTTTCCAAATAGCCATACTTTAAAGATATTTCAACACTCATGGAGAACCATACCTACAAATAAAGTTCTTGGAATATGTCTACTTTTCAATAGACTCTTCCATATAGCTAACACTCGCACTAATTTTTCTTCGAGAAACCTCTTTTATGACGGAAAAAGATTAATTCTTTTAACGCCCCGAAAGATTACTGACAACCCTCAAGAACAAGCAAATATCTGTATATTTTTATGTCCAGCCAGATCTGAAGAATCTCCACTTTGAGAAGGTAAGGGAGAAGTGAAAGGTCAATGACCTGAAGTTTTGAAAATGAATGACACAAGCAGGACGAAGGAGTAAGCTCACATTTCAAGATCCTTATGAGACTATAAAAGTAATTTATAAAATTATGAGAAAAGAAAGAACTAGCATCACATATTGCTTTTTCCTTAGTAGGAGGAATTTTTAGGGATGCAAACAACTTTTTTCACTTGTATAATGTGAGCACAACTTGTTTGGGACTGAGGCATAGTTGATGTTGTTTTTTGTTGCAGAAAAGGTTTCACTTGTCAAAGCACATATTAATTAATAAAGCACCAAAGCATTACCTGAGTGTGGGATCCTGTAAATTCAATGTCGACATAAACCTTCAAAAGATTCCTCACAAGATACTCCAGAGAGAGTTGATGCCCCTCAAACAAAGTAGACGTTGCAGTCGA